ACAAATTACTAGGCATAGTCACCAGTTTAGTCCAGCCCATTAACTGATAAAGCCCACCTATAGGTACGATCATGGACTGTCTTCCGCAGACAGCCTTCAACCCCAACTCCCCGTGCCTCCACTCCTCCGCTCGGTCTCCAATTCTCCATGGCCATGGTGATCTGCCATCTGCCGACTAGATTTGAGCGACCGATACCGCCGACCCAGAACTTCTATGTTCTTTGGACCTCTCCTTAATCCCCTTCTCAGTTGGAGCCTCATGCCTTCGACGCCCTCAAGCCGAACACCCACGCCCTACACACTTGACCTGTTCCTCCACTGTTCGTCGTCGCTTTGATTGGAACCGCACGCCTACACTATCACGCCACCGACACCCATGCGCTACGCCGTTCATTACTAGTTAGTGCAGTAATGCCTTAGACTTGGTAAATATAGACTTGCGAACTTTTCAGTAGTATTGTGCAGTTGAACATCCATCAGTCTCTGATGCATATTGTGAACGAGACAGATCTATATATGAGTTTTTTTCACACTAGACAGAAATATTATTATGACATGGTCATCTAATTGTCACATATATCTATTTGATGTCTTTAAGTAGCTTGTTTCATGAGTGAGGCGTTCTGGAGGCCGAGCTGCATGCAGGCCGTAATCACGTTAAGCATTGTCGTGTTGGGATCTGCGCGTCCCGACTTAGGGCATGTATAATGGTTGATAAGATAGTCTTATTTTAAGTCTTGCATGTAATTTAGAGATGACAAAAAAATATGTCCACAATGGGCCATCTCTTAGCCTTATCTTCAATAACCAGTTATTCCTAAAAAAGTGGTGAGACATATTGTACTAAGAGATCATCTCTTGTCTTCTTTTAAATAAAAGAAGACAATCATTTTCTTATGATTTCTTTCTCCTCCACCTCACCATTTATCCTACATGGCGTGTCTAAGATAGAACCATTGTACATGCCCTTATCAATTCTATATGCTGACTATTTAGGAGAAAATACATAGGTGCCGCTGTCCAGTGTTCACTATTTGTACGTGGGCCTCCGTTGTGGCAGATGATGGTTGCATTGACAAGATGTTCCTCGTGTGCGGCTTTAAATTTGGGGAAACGTTAAACACCGGCTGACCGGCCGAAGCCAGCGCCGGTCTCCTCGCGTAGTGGGCTCAAAGTAGGTGGCCTACGCACCGCTTTGGTTGCCTTTATCTCATCCACGGGACGCCCTCCTCCACTCATTTTTCCAATCCAAACACAATCTATCTTCCTCTTTCTCTGTGCTTCCTCCAAATAACACAAATCCATGGCAAAATAAATCATGCACAGCTTGCAGCTCCGGCGAGACTAGCATCTGCTGGTCGCGGACACGCGCAGCTCGCGCTTTGCCCCAGTAGCACGCCGCGTGCAGCTCTGGCGAGGGCAGCATCTACTCGCCGTGGCCTTCCCCAACAGATGGCTTGCTGCAGACGAAGATCTGCGCGCCCCGCTCCGCTCGCAGGAGAGGGCAACCACCAACAGAAGATGATGCAACCTCGGCTCGGCAGAGCTACAAGCATATGCTCGCGGAGCTGCAACCAGCCACACAAATGCTGGAACCGGCGACGGCCGTGCTGCGACGGCTTCGGCGGCGATCCAGCTTTGCTGGAACAAGCTACTTTTTTTGCTAGAACCATCATCAATTTTTGCTACCACCCACCCGCCCAAATTTTTGCTACTAGGTGATTTTTGCTGCAACCGATGAACCATTTTGCTACAACCGTTTCGATTTTTTCTTACTATCGGTGTTTGTGGATTTTTGCTACATCCATCTTCTGTTTTTCCTGTCTTTTTTGTTACAACCATATTTTGATTTTGCTGGAACTGAAGACAATTTTTGCTACATCCACCCACGGCGGTGTTGCTCAACGGCGGCAATGGTTGTTATTTTGCTACAACTGTCTCGAATTTTTGCTACTACCGGAGATGCCATTTGCTACCACCGGAGTTTTTGCTATGGTAAATGTTTACAGCCGGACGACCGGCTAAGTTTTGGGCCGGTCGCGCGTGACGCGCGTCCTATGTGGACCCACATCCAAACTGCCACGCACTTCTCTGGCTTCCGTTCTTATCCTTTCGCTCTTATCTCTTCCTCCATCGTTCTTTTCTTTTTCTCTCTCCCATCGTTCCCCATCTCTCTCAAGCCATCGATGGAGCACCTCTCTTTTCGATCCGCCGGCTTGGTTCTCCGGCGTGCTCCCTTCCCACTATAACCCTCTTATCCAATGCGAGCTCCTCCATTCTCTTCCCTCCCTCCCTCCTACTTCATCAGCCCTCATTTTTCTATTGCGTGCTGCAAGGGCCGGAAGCGCAGATGCTGCGCCCAGGCGACCATCCCTGCAAACGGCGAGCCAGGGGACACCGATGATGCAACCGGTTTCGCGGGCTGCTACAACCGGCATCGTGTGGTGCTACTACCAGCACCGTGGGGAGCTGGAACTGGTTACACCAGAGCTGCGACGACACGTCGCTGTTTGCTGGAACCGGCACTCCGAGGAGCTGCAACCAGCTTACATATAGCTGCAACCAGCAATCTGCGGTGCTACAACCAACAGAGGGCGGCGGGCAAGAGAGGTATTTTTGCTGGAACCATCAGTTGATTTTGCTACAACCATCTAATTTTTTTGCTGGAACCGACGATGGGACCAGCACCACGTGGGAGCTGCATAGGTTGTTTATGCTGGAACCTTAGTTATTTTTTGCTGGAATCAGGGTAATTTTTTGCTTCAAGCCATTTACTGGGTTTTGCTGGAACCTTAGTTGCTCAAGTCGTTTTGCTGGAAACTGTATTTTTTTGGCTGGAACCAGTTTTTGATTTTGCTGCAACCGACCACCAGAGTCGTTTTTTATGCTGAGATGTGTTTTCCTGCTGCTATCCGGTGGTGCAGGTCCACAACGACGGCGAGCCAGGGGCAGCGGTGTCGTGCTATATTGGGTGGCGTGAGTTGCTGGAACCGGCGTATGGCAGAGCTGCATCCGGCAGGGGCGGTTAAAACGACAGCGAGATGAGGAAGGCGTGTGATGATGGCGAATTCGGGCTGCGGAGAGAGCGGCAAGCAGTGGTGATCCAGCGCGCAGCGGTGATCCGGCAAGCGGCGAAGATTCGGCAGGTCATGGGGCCCGTCCATGGCGCTCGCGCCTCTGTAGGTGCTCCCGTGATTTTCAAGGGAAAAGAAAAGGAAATAGTGATCGGGACGAAAGGGTCATGTATCTGACGGTTAAAAGGGGTGTCTCGGACGTCCCGGATGCGACCGGCCCAAATTTGGACCGGCGCACCGGCACCTATGAGTGCCCTTTTGCTATTACCAGTCTTCCTGTAAGCATTAGGAGTTTTTGCTACCACCCTTTGTTTTTGCTGGAACCATTCTAAAAATTTGTTACCAACGTCTTTTGATTTTTCTGGAACCGGCATTTTTCGCTTCGGTGTCGGCGGTGAAGGCAGGTGGTGTTTTGGTTTGCCGGCGGCGATGAGGCTGCAAGCGCCGGCGACGAGCAGGGGCAGCGGTGGTCCAAGCGAGAGCAGCGCAGCCCAGCATGCGGGATCCCGTGAGCGGCGGCGACGCTTGCTTTTTTCTCCTCTTTTTTCCCGTGGGGGAGGATGACGATAGAAGATGCGGGGCTGATCTGACGGTTACGCGCGTCCAAATCTAGCGGCTCTGGTTTGACC